GAGAAGTCCGATTTCGGCTAGCGGGTTCACGGTAATTTTTCGTCACATACCGCTTTCCATTGAAGGTAGTGCGCCGGGTGTCAAGGTTAGGCCAACTTTTCGGGGGATGAATGACACGCACCTACGCGTTTGCCGGCATCTCTGGTAGCATTTCTATTAGAAAATTATCACGTCAGAAATTGTGCTAAGAAGTATCGGTAGCTTATCGATCAGTAAAGAACTCGAGAAAGTAGAAATTTGAAACGAATGGACATTGTCCTTACGATAGTTCCTCGGATAGTCCTGTCACCTACATTTTGGACCCTCAACGTCTAGGGAATCGTGCTCGACGAAGAAGTAAACATAACGGAAATTTTTCCGATAATAAGAGCCTCTATTATACGATCAAAAGTATTCGAGATAAAACCGATGAAAACGAACGAGAATGTACGAGAGCGTTTTCTTGCGTTTGTTTTACTTTCTTTTAATCGACCCAAGGTTCGAAATTGTGGACGCGAGTGGATTATGGTGTCGTGTCACGGATTCGTTATTTGGAGCAAAGTGGATTTAGAGATCTTCGACTGGAACTCTTATTTGTTTATGGAATGTACAGGTTTAGTTCTTTTGCTGGAAATGTTTTTATGCTACGCTTTCGAGATTTATTTTTACGTTGCTGTTTTTCTACGCGTTTTATTGCTCGTTTTTTTTGCAGTAATTGAACTGTAAAATTGGACTGTTCTTCTGAGATTTGTTTTTTGAAACGGATATTCTTTTGGGAAAATGATTGTTGTTATTAAAAAATATTAGGAAGGTTTAGTACTACTTCGTGATGTACCAACAATTTAAAATACACATGATATTTACACATATATCACACATGACATTTTTACACATATCTTAAATTATAATAAACTCTGATAATACTGTTATTAGATTAAAAAAATAAATTCTTATACTATTTGAAAATTATTTTACAACAAAAACAGTGAAAACATATATTGTTCTTTCAGGAGTATTAACACATCAAGTAATTAAATTTTGAACAAAATTTTACACATAACTTTTGTTCATTTCTATTCAGATATCTTTAATATGATATGATAACAAATTAAAAACAGTAGCATGGTTTCAAAATTATTTTAAAATTGCTTTGAACGATTATAAAAATTGTTTTCAAAATATTATACCAATTTTTAACAAGTTTTACCTTTAAGATTATAGGTGGATAGTATAATATAGTATATTTTTGAATGATTATTGAAGTGATATGAAATTCAGAAGTAATCACAAACGACATAAGAAAATATCTTGGTATTTTCGAAAGTTTGAGGTCGTTCACATTCAGCTGCAATTCGCTCTCGCTTTCAATATCCCTCCTATATTCTTCTACGGTTTTCTTAATTTCCTTCCGGCGCGCACAAATGAAATCGCATTACAATTTATACACGACCGCGCGCACTTTCATTTGGATTTAACCAGAGATTTATGCATCGCGCAATTTCGTTTCGTGTTCAATTATCATTTAAAACTTCATAACGTCCGAATTAAAGTTCCACGAACCGAATGAATGTATTAAATATTCGATTCAATGACGTTGCGAAATGAATTGTTCAACAGACCTGAAACGGTCAGTTAATATTCAAATAAAGTCTTACGTTGTATAGATTATCGTTAATTTTCAGACAAGATTGCAAAAATTTCAATATACTTATTTCATCGTTAAGAAATAATTGAATCATTTCATCATTACAAAGAATTGGTAAATTATGTTTATAAATTGAACATACATGTGTGTTTACATGTTTACAACATGTGTTGTAATTACAATTATATAAGAAATATAATGTTGTAATTATAATCATGTAAGGAATACAATGTTATATTTAGGTATATGTTTTATAACAGTATAGTAAATTACACATATTTTCATTATAGCAGCACTTGAACCTGTTTTCACGTCCTCAGTTTTACTTTATAAATACAGCACATATGCACACGACATGCATATACAGCATCACATATAATAAAAGTTGTCATAAAAGTATAATCAAATAATTTAAAAATTGTCTCCATAACATGGATATGCAAATATGTATTAAACGATTCATTTTGGTAGAAGTAAATATTGCATGTGTTACTCATATGTGATAATTTAACTGACATATATCTTGCTTCTCCTGCATACGAAACACTAAAATGTATGCTTAATTTGATTTATATGGAAGTTTGGGAAGGTGACAACAGGTTGAAACGTTGTTAAAATGAAGACATGTAATTTATTATATATTACATACGTTGCTACCAGGTTTAATGAACGGCTACAATTTTATGTAGCCGAAAAAAATATTTCGGCTACATAAAATTGACTAGACAATATTAATATACAAGTGCATTAATAAATCAAATTTATTTATTAGTAATAGTATCATATTAATACTATTATTATCTATAACAATTTATTTATTTATCACCGGTCAGAAAAATATAAAGTAAACACGAAGATCGACAATGAGAATAGAAAAGTCGAAGTTAATAATGTCGGATGCAATGAAGTAAGAAATTAAGATAGCAAAGTTGCGTAGAAGTGTCGAAAAAGCATTGTTAGATATGTAGCTCGTTAATCGCATTATCTAGCAAAGTCTTGCACTGTCGAGGTGCTCACGTAAGCGCAGTAATCCTAATCCTATGCGCGTGATTCGTGAATTATTAATCGCACGAATTCACGAGACTTCATGGGATTTGCGTCAGCGAATTTGTTGCTACAGGCTTTACCTAAACGCAGAGTAAACTTATCCATCTGCAATCGTCGATTCAGGCGTTGATTTACACTACTTACCAGCCAATTAGCCATTCTTGTAAAGGATTAATCACCCACGTATTTAGCGTTTCGTTGCATTTTTTACAAGTGTGCATTATAATATTCTGTTCAGTTTGTACATTTTGTAAAACATAAACGAATTTCTTAATTAACATACTTGCTATTTTTATAATGATACTTTGTTTCGTTTTTCTTTTGATACATACATATACACTTTTGTATGAGTAAAATAACTTTGATATTCCTGTAAAATATTTATCATATTTCTTTATAATGTTTATCTTCATTTTATGTGGTGTTTACAAAAGTTTAAAAGTGTCTTTGGATTTTAAATTGAAAATATTAACAAGGGGTCTATGTTTCTAAGAGTTGTCAGACAAGTAGATGTGGACGTATGTGGTCAGACATATGTTATTAGGAAAAACAAGCAATAATTTTTAGTTTCATTTTGTAATTTTATCTTGTAATTTGTTTTCTTATTATATATGCAATATTACAAACTGAAAAAATTATTACCATAACAAACATATAAATTACAAATAAAAATTGTAAACTGAAAAAAGTACAAGTATTACAATAACGTACCATAACAAGTCCATTTTCTATTCAGTTTAAATTAAAACCGAGTGTTCTCATTATTACAATTAACAATAGCCTTACCACAATGCACCCAGCTAAAAATTTTAATTGCGCAATATTTCAACTGTTCCCAAAGTCCGAGATATTCTCGGAAACCTCTGTATTTTTAAACATTACGACCGCGAAGTAACTTAACCAGTGAATTAAAATTCCATAAAAGTGGAAGAACGCAACGCGAGTGGAATTTGAAGCAGGTTAAAAGGGAAAGATACGTGTGTTTCCGTGGCGCTTTAATTGTCGAGAAGCACGGAAGGCTGTCCGGAAAAGTGAATGGACAGACGCGGACAGGCAGTAATTTTTCGATTTAGGACAGATCACTGTCGGATAGTCGGTGTACGTAATCTGGATTGACTGCTGGATCTAATTTGACTAATAGAGCAATTCCTATACAATTCGTATTCGGCCTCATTTGGCATAGTTCATAAGCCCAAGGCAAACGCGCTGTATGTCTCTTTTTTGAACCGCCTGCGGCGTTCTGTCAGAGATTCCTTACAAAAAAGCTACCACGTCGCCATTGTCTGGTACATCCAGGTTTTATATTCTGCACGTTACCTCGTCCGAGTGACTCTAAATAGAAAAGCTCTGCTACTGTAACCTGCATACTAGATGCTCCAAAGATTTGCGACTACGGTCATTTAAATCAATTTGCCTGTCGTGATAATTCTGCAGTATACTTTCCATGAATACACTACATTTTTTTAGAGATTAAAATCATAAAACTTCAAAATCATGAGACACTTATCCTTGGACGATTTTTAATTGTGCAACGACAATTGTTTAAATTAACATCGAATTTAATATTATTGTCCAGTGTAGTAATTATATGGTAAATTAATTTGTTTGTTAATGGATAATAGACACGAGCTTATGCTAATTCGATGTTTTATTGACATATCAGTTTTGCGTGATTTTGCTTTAGTAGTTAATCAACTCTCTGGAGCTTTCAAATTATAATTTGCAGTAACTGATTACAATGAGTACAGTGATTACAGCGATTTGCAGTAATTTCGGTGTTTGTTCGTATGGTTTTGATTGTTACGGCGGTATTTGTACTTGGTAAATTTGTTTCGTGGTAACATGGGTTTCATAACAAGTACGTCTACATGCAAATAAATTAATACTAAACTGACAGGCAACAAGTTTGATCAATTTTTTCGAAGTTATTAATTACACACTTGGTTCAAAAATATCTATTTTAACTTGTCGTATCGAAACAGTCACCTTTAGAGTATAGAGGTGATATACATATGTGATTACCCTAACCTTTTAAATCCATGAGAGACCTATAGTCATCCTTCATAAGAGGATATATACTCCCCCATAATAGTTGCAATACCTAAAGTCATCTAAGTTATCAAGCTTGACTTTGTATCATTTTATGTTAAATATCTTACAAAAATCTTACCTTTAATCATCCTAGTATTTATTTCCATCAATGACACTAAACCTAAAAGGTTAACACAGTAAAATGAAATAAAGTAGAATTTTAAATGAAACACCGTCGAGAAGAGAGGAGGTAAGATCGGTAAACAGTAACGAGACAACTCGCACGTGCTTTTTTTAGATACGTGGGTGGCTCGAGGCGAGAGCTGTCGGGGGTGAAGGAACTGGTGACCTCGAGGAGGGTGCAGAAGAGACCCTCAGCTACCGTAGTAAGGTCGGATGGAGGTTGCATCGGGGGCAGTCCAGGAAGTGGCGGCATCATCGGGGGTGGTTTGCTAGGCGGTTGCAGCGGTGGCAACGACGCCTTGGCGGAGTTAACCATCGAGGACCTGGCATCTATTCCCGCCGGAAATCACACCTCCGCCAATCACACGGGCCATTCCTCTCATCACAAGGTCAGCGAACTTGGCTAAATCGATATTTCTCCGTGTCCATCGTTTAAACGTGCACTCCGAAATATTCGTTAACAGACTTCGTTTTAACGGAGTCGCTCCGTGCACTACATTGCTGGTGGACTCCAGACCTAACCCTTTGCACTCGGATGCACTTCTACTGTCACTGAGTGAATTAAAAAATATTCTGATTGAAAAGTTTGGGAAGATTTTTCTTTTCTGTAATGTTTATTATTTTTTCCATTTTTAATAATTTTCTATTATAATTTTGTCTGCAGTCAACTGTATCTATTTTCTGCCGTTGTCTGCTATGTTTACATGTCACATGAGTGAAATATTTAGTTTAACTTGTTGCGTTAAACCGAATGATGAGATCTCATTTTTCATTCTCATTTTTCATTCTCACTTTTCAAGTGCAAGGGGTTGATACATTTAAAACATTTAAAACGTAACGTGCAAATAATTTATAATTTCTGATAAGACATTTTCAAGTCAATCAATCATCCCCGCATAAAAGCTTTACCCGAATAAAACCCCATTTTTCATTGTCATCCTCTAAATTAGCTTCTAAAGTAAGCACAAAAGCCCATCGAAACTTGAATACCTCATCAAATAACATTAATCATTTTCTCATATGTGACTGTAAAGTGATCAGTGTACCCAGAAAAACCTTCATTTATTCTCCGTTTTTAATGAATCCTCAGTTGTTCACTGAGCAACGACAAAGCAGCTATCCAGTTCGGTCGACGTATCGGCACGGATTTTATTAATCAATTGACATCGCATTACGCGGTAAACACAGGCGAGAATTAATTAAGCTTAAACCGAGGCTGCGGTGCAATCGGTCCGCTCGAAACAAACGGTAACGAGGTGAAACAATGCGAATTACACGTCGGGAGGGTGAAACGTTTGATTAGGGAACGATCGCGGTTTCTTGAACCCGAATCTCGTTCGATAATTGACGAACGGTTGATAATGGTCGACGAATTGTAAACGTCACGAGGACCACTCGAGGCTAAATAATTATTATTCAAGGCGCGTTACGTGCTTCTTGCCTAATTATTCGATGCTGCATGAACGTTCGTCGAGGACGCACAGTTCAAGTGCAAACAATGAAATTACCAGGCGTACTTTTGCGTCAGCTGTTGCATCCTGCAGCTGCTATGTACTGGGTGGTTCATTTTTATTTTTATTCTGGGACTCTTAATATTAGCAAACATTTGACATTCACGTGTGAAGGAACATATATTTTTATTTTAGTCAAACTTGAATTTATTTTTGATAGACTTTGTTGTGACATAACATGCTACTCAAGTAGCATAGTTTGGAGCGTATTGGGTTCATGATTAGCTGTTTTGTATACTTTCAAATAATTTATTCTTTACATCAATTATTATAAAAATACATTTTGAAAAAAATGCAATATTCTACAAAATGTTACCAATAACGTCTACATAGAAAATAAATATATTACCTGCTCAAGTAAATTCATGTAAATACATTTGACTTAATACAAAAATTTCTTAAACACTTCACGAGCACTTAATAATAGCTCGTTCATAAGTAGTATGAAAATGAAAGTAGCAGTGACAAAAATGAATTTAACAGAACAGTGAAAAAAATGAATTTTAATAATTTACAAGATCTCCCAGTGCTTTTATTTTTCGTTTACGAAATAACTGCAGCCCTAAACGCGTCACATACAAGGTTTGTATAATAAAGTGAGCCTGAAATAAGGTTTGAGTAAACATCACATTCACACGCTGAACATCAAAAAGTCTCATCTGATTGAGCTTCGACATTTCCGTGGGTAAATTCCAGCCTGAAGCGTGCACTTAAACCGGTGTACCGTCACAAGAAGCGAATCAAAGTCTCTTTGATCAGCGAGGCCAATCTTCTAGGTGATCTGTGCCCTTTCAAACCGAGACTATCCCTTGTCGGCCATTCTCCTTCGCTAGGAACTCTTTTTTTTCTCCCAGTTCGCTAGTCAATCGGTCCCCCGTTTCTTCCACCACCCGTTCCAATTTAACTTCGCTCCTCGTGTGTGCCTCGCGCGTTTATTTTCTCCCCCTTTTATTTCCCCTTTAATATACGAGCCAGCTCGGCGTTGCATCGCTGTAACGCTGCATGTTGCATTTGACCCCCTTTTCCCCTAATAGCCCCATTCACTCTGTGTGTCCTCCCTTTTTTACTCGGTCGAGTCGATGCAGCGCCGTATGTTGCGCCGAGAGTTTCGATGTCTCGTGCATCTTGCCCATCCTCCCTCGGCTAAGGGGCTTAAAGGACCCCTGGGATATCTGCTGCCATGCCGGCTCTTATCGTCGCGAGTAAAATGGAAAAAGAAAAGAAACTCGGAGGAACAGGTAACCTTGCTGGATGGCTACGTCGTTCGATTTCGTATCGTAATTGTTGTCGTCCTTTCACGAAATTCTCCTCTGCTCTTTTTTTACCTTGGAACTTTCTATTTGTTCTTGCTCATATATTGGGGGTTTTGGTGACTTTTTTATTGACGTAGGGAGAGCTTTTAGTTGGGAGGTTTGTTGTCGTGCGTTATATCTTTCGTTGCAGGGGTTGATGGTACATCGTATTGAATAGTCATGTGTTGGATCGCCACGCGCTATATCACCACGCGTTGAATTACCACGCATTAGATCCTCCATGCGTTGTATCACCACGCATTAGATTCTCCATGTGCTATATTACCACGCGCTGAATTACCACGCGGTAGATTCTCCACGCTTTATATCACCTCGCGCTATATCACCACGCGTTGAATTACCACGCGTTGGATTTTCCACGCGTTGAATTACTACGCGTTGAATATGCACGCGCTAGATTACTACGCGTTGGATATCCACA